ACAAATCTAGGATTATATTATTATTGTTATATATAAATTATGTTGAAGGTCACGGTGTTATTGACGAACGCGAGACGTTCCGTTAGGTTGCGTTGGACGGGAATTTTTTTTGCGGAGCACGTGCGATATACGTGCACTAAAATTTGCAGGGCTTTCTCGGCCACCCTTTTATTGTGTGCCTCCTTTATGGAGATCATCGCCGATGGGTTTAAAGAAGAAAATGAATGGGGGAGGGAAAAAAATGCTTGTATCGTTTTTCTAATCATCATGGCCATTTGAAGGTCCAGAGAGTTGCAGGATGAAAGCTGTATTAATTGACCTTCTAGCTAATCTGTTATTTTGCTGCTTCTAAGCTCGTTATTTTCATCAGCAGAAGTAAGATTATAGTTGGCCTTTTGTTGCATATTTAATCATTTAACTGGTGTATTGCAGCACTGCCTTGTCGAGGGGATTGGGGAACGGAAACCTTAATAACTGAATAAATAGATGTTCTGGGACATTAATACATATGTATGGACACAATTTGAAATATAATGACCCTAAATAATTATTAGCATTTACCTATTGTCGGACAAGCCGATAAAATCCACATCTCTCTAATGTCCTTTGTTACCCGACAGTAATGGAATATAGACTTAACGGTTTAGTTTAAATAAAGCCTGCAAATAGACGCAGAAACAAGCAGTTTAATGAACGTTCAGTGCTTAAATATTTATTTAAAGTAATCATATCTGTTAAGTGAAAATGTAATTTTAATCGCTAACTCAATCAGCTTAATAATCGGCTGCATAGGCTTCGGGGTAGTGATGACCTTTGTGTAATAATGCAAATACAAAGCTCATTAAAAGCCATATTTTTACATAAACACGCTGATAATTCCAATGTGGGCACAGCAATTCAAGCACTGACACCAAATATACTACCGTATTCCCAAGATTATGATGCACTCCCCCCCCACCCCCATGTGTCTTTTTAAACCAAAAGTGTTGGGTGTGTATTAAAATCAGGTGAGTGTGTATGTGTGTTATTGTGTATGTGGGGAGCGGTAATGTAGCGGTTAGCACTCAGCGCTATGAACCTGGAGACCCAGGTTCGATTCCCGTTCACGGCCAGCACCGGTGATGATTACCTGAACCCGGTCCTGGGTCTCCCCTAGGTCGACTCAGCCTCAAATGAGTACCTGGTGTGATGTGTAAATATCGCGGCAGGAGAGATAAAGGCGGCCGGGCGTGGTGTTGGCCACCCACCCCCTCGTGTGCCGTGCTGGCCTTCATAGGTGCTCGCTAACAGCACTTGCCCTAACAGCGTGTAGGCTATACCGGGGGATCTTGGTCTTTGTGGCCAGAGCACCGGCCTTCATAGGTTCTACTCGTTAACAGCACTTGCCCTGGAAATGTGATCAGGCTATATGGGGGATCTTTGTCTTTGCTGCCATGTTTGTGGGGAACAGTAGTGTACCGGGTAAACGCACCGCTCTACGAACCCGGCGACCTAGAGTTTGATTCCCACTCACGGCCAACATCAGTAATGAATATCTGAACCGGTCCTGGGTCTCCCCGAGGTCGACTCAACCTAAAAATAAGTACCATGTGCGATGTGTAAATATCGCTACTGCAGAGACACCCACCCCGCTTGTGTGCCAGATCGTCCTTCACAGGCTCCAACAGCACTTGCCCCAAAAGTCTGTTTAGGCTATGTGGGGCATCTGCGTCTTTGTGATCATATTTGTAGACATTTATCGACCCTGGGCAAGGTTTTGCATAATTTCAGCCGGAACAGTGCAGACCGGGATTTATTTGGGCACACCCACATCTGTCTTTGCCTCGTGTAGTCCATCCAATTTTTTGGTTCTTCAATAAACCTGTTCATATGATGAATGCAATATGGGGGTCAATAATAATAATAATAAAGGATTGTTGTGGATAGGGGGTTACCTTGTACTCGTGCGGAAGTGGCTTATGCCAATAATCCCTCACCTAGCCCCCCGTTACGCCAAAAGCAGCCTCACAGCGTTCTTGATGATATCGAGCGAGAAGTTAAATTCCGGTCTTACTTTCCTAAAGGAGCACCTTATAATCTGGAGATTACGGTAGACGGTTCTGTAGCGTTCATGCAAATTAACTGATGTGTTGTTTTTTTATAGTTGTTGTTGTATTGCTATGACTACTGCTAGCATCGTTGTCGCAGCAAGCATCCTCTTAGCCTTCAGGCACGACACAATGTGGTGTCTTGGTTGGTGTTGAGGAGGGCGAGCGGGCGGTGGGGTGGGTTAGCCATGTGCAAGGCGAGGTTTGTCACTCTCAGGGTAAAGCCTCCCAACTCAGAATAGAGGCTTTTTGGGTTAGATCGCGTAAATGTATAAATGTGTCGTTAAACCCACCACCACCCGACACAGCCAACTAGTAAGGGTTGTCACGTAAACAGAACGTGGCCAATTTTTGTCACTAGTACAGCACACATTTACATGTTGTGGCTTGGCTCTCCAACACACCGGTGTGCTGTACTAGTATTGTACACTATACACTACACTATACACTACACGCTAGTGCTGTACTAGTATACTACACTATACACTACACACTAGTACTGTACTAGTATAGTACACTACACTATACACTACACACTAGTGCTGTACTAGTACACTACACTATACACTACACTATACACTACACTATACACTACACTATATACTACACTATACACTGCACACTAGTGCTGTACTAGTATACTACACTATACACTACACACTAGTGCTGTACTAGTATAGTACACTACACTATACACTACACACTAGTGCTGTACTAGCGACGAATTGGGCACGTTCTGTTTACGTGACAACCCTCACTAGTTGGCTGTGTCGGGTGGTGGCAGGTTTTAACGACACATTTATACATTTACGCGATCTAACCCCAAAAATCCTCTATTATGCATGATATTGGTCGCGAAAGCCTACCACGTGTTAAGCTTCCCAACTCGTTTATTTGACGCTCTGACGTTGCCGTCGAGACTCGCAGGAAGAGTGGACACATTTGTCTTTTTTTGCCGGTTTCAAAACAACAGCGCAATGATAAAGGGCTCCGTTTATACCTTAAAATGAACGCCTCTCCTGGGAGCATGGCCTGATGTGATGTCCAACAGCTGAACAGCAATTAGACTTTTGCGACGCTGGCAGTGTTCAACGGAATGCGATTACCAACTGATAACGAAGGCTAATAAACTGATTAATGGCCATTTCGTACACTCGGTTTCATACAAAGATTTAACGATTCACCCAGTAAAATAGGTGCTGACCCTCGCAACACATGCAGTGAATTGCCCGTCTAAGAATATATTTTTTCTCATTCGTTTTTTTTAAGATCCGCTACGGTAGATTCCCGCACCTAAGATTAGCACGGTTGGCTACATACGGTGCGAGGGAAATTCAACATTCATGCATTGCAGAGCTGTAATGACTTTGTTACCCCCATGATTCGATGAATCCTCACCGTTTAGGGTCATGATTCAATGCAAGCCAAGCTGGGACAACTCGTCGATTAAGTCAATCAGTCGAATACAAATGCAATCGACTTAAAAGGTAATCGACTTTGTCGATTGACTCATTCATGCCCGTTTAAAATTGGCGGTCGAAACGAGCCTAGTGATGCCGATTAAATCACTAGGCTCTGCCCATCACCTCCCGTCCAGCGGCACACGTGGGAACAGAGGTGAGACTTTTTTCAGCTCTTTTCACGTCTTTTGATTATCGAGTAATATAATATTATATGGAGAGTAATCAATTACGTAAATAAGTGGTTAGTCCAGCTCAATATTCCAGAATATTTACTTTTTGAAGAATCGTAAGTGATCGCAGTCACAACTCATGGCTAAAGAGGATCAAGCGACCCCAATGTACACAATGCAACAATAAAAATGCAATTTGTAACGCATGCAATCATTTACAGGCACAAATGACCGTTACCCTGAGGCGCAAAGCCAAACTCAGTGTCGCTGGAAAGCCAGGCGAGTGTCTCTTAGAAGTCAGTGTAAATTGAATGCTGCTGCGAATGTGCAGCAGCGGTCCTCTGTGTAGAGAGGAAGAAGAGTAGGTTGTAAGTCACGCTTCAGGGAGTGTTTTCCTGTGAGCAGCAGAGAGAGGTGCGGTGGATGACTGAAAGTAGAGGCGCAGTGGCACAGGCAGCAGTCGATCTTGTAGCTGGCCCTGCTGGTGATGGTGGGAAGTCAGTGGAGGAGGGAGTGGAGGCAGGAGATGTTGTAGCTGACCCTGCTGGTGATGGTGGTTAGCGAGTGGAGGAGGGAGTGGAGGCAGGAGATCTTGTAGCTGGCCCTGCTGGTGATGGTTGGAAGCCAGTGGAGGAGGGAGTGGAGGCAGGAGATGTTGTAGCTGGCCCAGCTGGTGATGGAGGGAAGCCAGTGGAGGAGGGAGTGGAGGCAGGAGATCTTGTAGCTGGTCCTGCTGGTGATGGAGGGAAGCCAGTGGAGGAGGGAGTGGAGGCAGGAGATCTTGTAGCTGGCCCTGCTGGTGATGGTGGGAAGTCAGTGGAGGAGGGAGTGGAGGCAGGAGATCTTGTAGCTGGCCCAGCTGGTGATGGAGGGAAGCCAGTGGAGGAGGGAGTGGAGGCAGGAGATCTTGTAGCTGGTCCTGCTGGTGATGGAGGGAAGCCATTGGAGGAGGGAGTGGAGGCAGGAGATCTTGTAGCTGGTCCTGCTGGTGATGGAGGGAAGCCAGTGGAGGAGGGAGTGGAGGCAGGAGATCTTGTAGCTGGTCCTGCTGGTGATGGTGGTTAGCGAGTGGAGGAGGGAGTGGAGGCAGATAAGGGGATCTATAGCCGAGGGTGACTTGAGCGAGATGGTTCGGCAACTGTTGGAGTTTCTTTTGAGATGACTGTTGGTGTAAATTGTCAAAACAGACGGTGGAGTCCAGAGTGACACCCGTGGAAATATTTACCAGCTCGTTGTCTATCCACTTCCCCCACCCCCACCGCTGTCCCCTTTCCTTTCAGGGAGAACAACTTCATGAAGGATTTCCCGCAGCTTGCCGACGGACTCGAGGTGATGCCTTTGCCGCCCGACCAGCAGTGCCAGGCTCACCTGTCTGACCCCAGCCCTGCCCTGCAACAGCTTAATGGTAATGCCATTACACGTGCTAAATTGACTCACCACCTCTTAATTATATAGTCATTGTAATGAATACGGTGGCCTAGCGTGGGTGGCAATGGGTCCTGGTGGATGGAATGAATGGGGGCAGCCCCTGTGCTGATCATTGCCCCCCCTCCCCCTGCGTTGCCCCGTGCTTTGCCCCCCCCCTCCGCCATATGGAGCCCAGTGCGTTGCATTGCCCACAAACTCGATAGCTACTCAATACTATGAGACCTCCTTTACCAGTGGCAAAATATAGTAGTAGCTTTTTAACTTTTAAACTGGTACAAAACTGACACCTTTATACAAGGCATCATGTTTGCAATAACCGCAACACAAGCAGTCAAAATGCAAACAAAAAGAAACAACTCTGATAATGGTAATGATATGCACTGTCCTTGAAGTTGATTGGTCCACACCCGAGACAGCTTTCCTTGTACGCCTTTTAGCATCATCTGGTCCAACACTAATGGAGACTAGGCTAAAGGAAAGCTGTCTCGGGTGTGGACCAATCAACTTCAAGGACAGTGGATATCATTACCATTATCAGAGTTGTTTATTTTTGTTTGCATTTTGACTGCTTGTGTTGCGGTTATTGCAAACATGATGCCTTGTATAAAGGTGTCAGTTTTGTACCAGTTTAAACAGCTACTCAATAGTTAAGACCGAATGCCATCAGTCGCTTTATCAGTTGTATGCCTTTAATCATGAATGACGAGAGCAGTGGTTTCTTCTCCTGCCGTGACACACAAGTAAAGTAGACGTACAGTAATTAGGGCAGTTACATTTATTTTGGTCAAATTATATTTGAGCCCGAGGAATGCATCATGGGGCGCATTCTGCTTTGCCCTCGTAAGAACAAAATGTGCCAGCAACATTTTAAAATGTAACCTTCAATATAAATTAGTTTGTTTAGTCACATTAAGTTTTGTTTTATTGTTTTGTCTGTTACCCAATAGGTACTATTAGGTAACTATTCATGCGCCAATAAAAAAAAAATGTGAATCAATTTTTTTTTTTACAAAAATATTTTCATCGGGCCCAATTGTGTAACCATTATCATTCACCGTGTCTCTGCGGCTTCTCTATATTGTATGTGCTGCAGAGAGGGGCCCTTGTCTCAGACATCCTCTGTTGTGCATTTGTCCTTTGAATGCGACATTGTTAGTGACGAATGGGTCGAGTTTTTTCGGTTAAAGTACAAGTTAGAGCGACGGGTGGAGAAAAGGAGAAAAAAAACGCAAAGTTGGTGACAACTCGCATCCGAGAGTTTGAAACAATCGCTCAGCTCAACAACTCAAATATGAAAACCTGCTGGTTAAACACCTCCCCAGCACCGGGTCCTGACTGCTCGTGTCAGAGCAATGAGTCAATCGGAAATGAGTTCTACTTCCGCGCGTTAATACCGGCAAGAGTGAGCGATCGGTGGCCAGAGAGCACTCGACGCTCAATAAGAACAGCATGTCCCGGGAGGCTGTTTAGAAGCTATAACTATTGGTCGAACACAATACCGCCAGATTGAATGCGAGGAACACCCACTCACAGTACACAACATTAAGCTTCCCATATCAATATCACCTTTCTGCTTACCCATAAGTCTCCTTGTCAATTCAAGGTTCCATAAATTAACCCTCCCCTTCACCTCCACCCCCCCCCCTTCACCCCCCCCTTACCCCCCACCTCACCCCCTTCCGATTGAAATCAGTTCAGCAGCCAAGTAAGTATAAATCAAGTGGCAGGAAAAATCAGACATTAAAGGGATAGTCAATTATATAATTGCTTGAATATTAACATTGCCTCTCTGACTAATAGGGTCGGAATAATTTGGGGTATCTAATAGATAATTCTTATAATTATCCACCAAAAGTCTCCCGCTGAATAATAGGTAATAATGTATATTGCTAATGATACTGCAAGGCCATTCATTAACCCAGGAAATCCAGACCAAGTCTCAGTACTCTCTTTCATGAGTGTCCTGCATTGGGATGTTTGGCCATTTTTGTTAAATTTATGAATGGTTTGGCTTCACGTGGGAAAAATCCACACTGCCTGAAGAAAACCCACCATGCATGTCATAGGAGACACTGAACCCTGTAAACGCCTGAGCACATCGCAGCTGTATGCCCAAAACAGCTAGCAAGCCCTGGTGGCCACCAGCCATCCAAATACTAACCCAGGTTAAAAGCTGCTTTGCTTCTGAGGTCTGACGAGATGTGGTACACGTAATGTGGCACCTGGCTTGGTATTTACACGTGTCATTTGGACAAGAGTTTCGAGCTGGTATGCCCCTGGATGGCTGGCGTGTTGCCCCACTCGGATATATCCCCTAAAACATCAGACTGTTGGTATTACATATTTTTTTCCCACCGATTTTATTCCAGTTGTGCTATCGATGTCATATCACGAGTAGAAGAAAAATCCATTCAGCTCACCCACAGGGCAGTGCATTATTTTGTGTTAGAGAGCAGCCCATGGAAGTGGACATCACAGAGCTACCTTTGAGATTCCTTAAAGTGACCACTCGTCCACATGGTAGAGGTCGGCACTTTCCCACCGACCCTGGATGTGAGAGTAATGGTTGTTGTATGGTGGTCAGAATTATATTTTAATTCTGAGATCTGGAATTGATCAAATTGAGTGAAGTACTAAATTTAATGTGATAATTGTTTTTTTTTTATGCAGTCGATTGTGTTTGCGATGACATGTAGGCTCTCGCGACTAATATTTTTCATAATTTAGTCTTTTTGGGTTTGATCGTATAAATATAAATGTTGTTAAATCACCCACGACCCGACACAGCCAATTAGTAAGGTTTTTGACGTACACAAAAAGTGCCAATTTGTTACTAGTTCAGCATACCAGTGTGTTGGAGAGCAAAGCCACAACATTTACAATCTGAGTACAACGTTTCACCAAATGTGAGCTTTAAAATACGTAATTACAACTAGCTTCAGCAGGCTAGTTGTAATCATTGGCGAAACGTCGTTTTGGCACTGCACATAGCCAACCGTGCTAATCGGAGGTGCGGGTTAAGGAAAACAAATGAAACACAAAAAACAGTTTTCAAGAATTGAGTTTTCCATCTCGATTCTTTAAAAGTGCACAGCTCCAGTGGCTTCCTAATACCGGAAGGAAGAGCGGTTCAAGATGGCCGCAGAAGCACGTCTAAAAGCGCACGATGCAGTGACCCATCGTTGTTCGATGGTCGGCCAAACGTTGAGCATCAGGGGCAGCAGCAGTAAAGCCACAACATTTACAATTCGATTACCGTGACGTTTCACCGGTAATTACAACCAGCATCATCAGGCAACAGACAGAGTTGTTGTCATACTCAAAATGTAAATGTTGTTATGGGTTTACTCTCCAAACGCCCCGTTATGCTGAACTAGTAACGAATTGGCACGTTTTGTTTACTTGGAAAAACCCTACGAATTGGCTGTGTCGGGTGGTGGCAGGTTTAACGACGCATTTATATTTACGCGATCTAACCCAACAAAACGTCCGTGGTGTATCACTGCACTTGAGAACGCGGTTTAATTACAGGGGCCTTGCCTGGATCAGAGCGCAGGATCTGAGCACTGCCAACTCTCTGTGCCCTCAACCTCTGAGCCACCCGGTCACCTCGAGGCAACTGACAATTCGACAGGCGTATATACTCTTAGGTTTTTTCGGTAAAGTCACGTAGGTAAAAATAAATAATAAAAGTAAAAATAAAAGAAATACTAATAGAAATAAAATTTCTATTATTTTTACTTTTATTATTTTTTACCTACGTGACTTTACCGAAAAAAACCTAAGAGTATGAATTCTTGCAGTCACGAAAGCTTCAAATCTAGAATTCGACAGGGGGGCCACCACAAACGATACTGCAATCTTGCAGCACCTCTGACCAGCGTTTTGTAGGTCAGACTAAAAAAAGTCAGTACCGTACTCATCGATTCCTGCGTGTTTCAGTTTGGTGAACATGCTTTCAGCAATTGGTCTTTCATTTTTTTTCTAGTAACAAACAGTGTCAGATTTTAATTGATATAGAAGTGTGAACTTTTTTTATTTGACACGGAATGTTTTCCGGCCATGAACGAAGTACTTTTAAATGAAGAAAGTTCTTAAGTGGCATTGTACAACCCCAGGGCTTAACTCCTCGCACACTACAATTAAGCACGTCCAAGACGAAAGCTTAACTCCTTGCACGCTATTTTAATGCATGTCCAAAGCTCTTTGTTGGGCATGGGTCACTGCGTAGAAATTATCTCATGCGCCGTGCCTCCTCTGGGGTGGGGGATATCTACGTGCCAAACACAAGCAAGACTTTGGCGCTTGCTCACCCCCACAAGAGGGAGCTCTAAACACAGGAGCCCTCTAAATGACATTTGACCGTCTCCTTCCACACTCAGATGTCTTGGAAATGGTGGGGATATCCACGTTTTATCCTACCACGCGCGGCCTGCCGATATTCTTGGTTCTTTCGGTAAAGACACGTAGAAGGGAAATTATAAAATAATAAAAATAATCAATTATAAGATAAAATTCTCACGACGTTTCGGCCACAACGCAAGCAGCCGTCCTCAGGTGAAGAACAGGGCTGTCGGGAAGACAGCGTCCTAATGAACACTGCTAAGCTTGGGAGTGTATTTTTAAGCTGGATCGGAGGAGGAGAGAGCCTTGACAAAGGAGTTTACATAAAAGGAATTTAGCATATTGATATACTCGCATAATATGACTTTGAGACCCCCCACCACCTACACATTCCACAAGTAGTGACTAATCCCATATCTGCATTTGTCATCAATATGCTAAATTCCTCTGATATGTAAACTCCTTTGTCAAGGCTCTCTCCTCCGATTCAGCTTAGAAATACACTGCCAGGCTTAGCAGTGTTCATTAGGACGCTGTCTTCCCGGCAGCCCTGTTCTTCACCTGAGGACGGCTGCTTGCGTTGTGCCCGAAACGTCGTGAGAATTTTATCGTATTATGTTATATTTTTATTAT